AGTTCAAGTAGATAAGTATTAGCATCAAACTATAATTACATATCCATACATTATGGATTCTTTTTTAATGTCTACATCACTTTAATGTTGCAGCTGGAGCGAATTTAAATTACTCTGCATTCTGGTGGGTAGCTCCATCTGCAATCATATAGCAGAATCTACTAGCCGCATAGTGTTTAATAATCTGAATGTGCAAAATAAGTACTAATTCAAGCTTTTACATAAATGTAGTCAAGTACAAAGTATAATATTTTTTTATCCAAAAATAGTGAAAGAGAAGCTAGAACTTAGTATAACATAGGAATACTGAAGTCAAGTATAAGTGGATAAAAGTGTGCTTAAATGTAATCAGCCTTCATCCACCACTGGTTTAACAAGTACAGACTCATCACCATCACAGCAAACAGCCACAGCTCCTAACAAGTCAGATTTAAATTACATTTTGTCTAAAAAGTGAATAGCTAATGGAAAGACATGCCTCATATATCTGTGCCCCCACTACAGATCTGGGATCTTTATCAATATAAAGTAGAATTACTGCCTCACGTGTTTGTGCCTTCACCACCCACTCAAGTTGCAGCTTACGTCCATGTCTGTTCTCTCCCAGTCTAGCTGCAAGGCAGGCATTATGCAAACGTGTTGCATGGTGATGTAGATAGTTAACTGAAGACAAACCTGGACTACAAATGAGGTGTTTCAGGGAAAATGGTGTGGACTTTGGATTAGACAAAAGCTAGCACACACTGAAGGAAAGAGAAAACCTCCAAAAAGGATCATATGGGCTCCTTAACTCTCTACATAGACAATGCTGGCATGGCTCTGATTTGTTACAGATGGAAAAGGATTATTCAGAGCTGCATTTTCTGGTACAAATTCACAGTTCTTGAGGATAAAATAGGGGATCTGCAACAAAAGCAGAGAATATCAAGGTGTGCACAAAAGCACTGTCACACACCTCCTGGATGAGGCCGGCCACCGTGGCCGGAGTCTCTTTGGGGGAAGCAGAGGACAGAGCAGCCACACAGCGAGCGACAGAGTGGTAGGACTGTCTGTGGATGACGCCGCCATCTGCAGATGACTGAGGGCTGTGAAACGGCTCCGTGAGAGACTTCAGCAACTGACTGCAGAGGAGAGGAGAGCAGTCAAACACATGTAACACATAGCATTACGCACACAGAGATGGTTCGATCTGTGATGTTTCAGAGTTGTTAGGGGAGATAGATCTAGAGGAGCAGAGGCTACAAGTAAAAAGTGTGACGATGGAGCAGGTCGGTGAGGCAGGAAGGAGCCTAGCTGAGTTTAAAGAATTTAAAAAACCTTTTTATATTTATAGAAGCAGAAAAATTATGATTTTTTTTCCATCCAGATAACAGTCTTGATCAGTTACAAAAGGACAATAAATTCTAATAACTTGTTTAACTGTAAACTACATTTTATAATTCATCCTACATCCACCCAACCGGTGGAGGCAGATGGCCGTCCCTCCCTGAGCCTGGTTCTGTCGGAGGTTATTTTTCCCCTGTGGGGGTTTTCGGTTCCTTCCCACTGTTGCGGACTGCTGAAGCTTATAGGGAATCCAAATGTTTTGGATTGTTGGGTGTTTCTGTCTCTGCCTTTGTGAAGCGCTATGAGATGACTTGTTGTTGTAAATATGCGCTATACAAATAAAATTGAATTGAATTGAATTGAATAGAAGAAACCTGTCCAAACACAAATCAGACGATGTGTTTTAAACGGTCTTTATCCCTCATTGCTCATGCTGTCCAGATCTAATAAGCCATGGTGGGGGTTTCTGAGCTACAACTAGGCAGATGTCATCTAGATGTAACAAAAGCAAAAAAAAGTCTCCTTTTTTGTGCTTTCACAGATATGACACTGTATTTTAAACTGTTACTGGAGTCTCCTTGTTAATCAGGTCCTGGTTTGATACATTTCATGAATGCTTTTTTTTTTTTTTTTTATGTTTTTTTAGGTAGACCTTGTTGTAAAAAAATAACTGCAGTACCTGGTTTACCTGTTGAATTTGGGCGAAGTTAAACACTGATTGGTTGAAAAAATGGCTCCTCTCAGAGTTTCACTATGATATATGGAGTGTTGAACATTACTGCTGCATTCATGCGTATGTTGATTTTACTGCTGTAGATGTTTAACATTAAGCTCAGTGTAAATATTTTATACTGTTGGGTAGTTTATTTAAAGCAGTGTGTTATGTTTAACCTATAAAGTTGAAGCATTTTCTCACTCCATACAGGAGCATTTAGTCCTTTAGTTTATCACAAACATTAAAAATGTGGAGATTCATAAAATCAAGAACCTCAGTATTTTAGTGTTTGTTACATTCCATTACTGTCAGTAGTCCTGTTACAAAGGTCTACATTGTGGTCATCCTCCCCTCTGGATGAAAACAAAGCTGTAGCAGCATTGTTGTTTTAACCCATCCAAACCCAAGTCCAAACCAATGAAATCAGTGTTCAACCCTGCCCTGTTCTGGAGGCTGCAGCTCCTTGAACATCCTTCCACAGAGAGGAACTTAGACCCCCATTTGATACATCACTGTTTTGGAACTAAAAATGTCCTGAAAAACAGATTTCTCGACAGGAGCGGAAGGTGGATCAGCTCCCTGTCACCAGCAGGTCCACAATGGCGGTGAGTTAAATGTATGGTTGTATAATAAAGCTGGTTTGGTTCAAAAACAATCTCACCCAGACTTATTTTTTTTCAGACTTTACAGAACTCCTTCTGAGCCACAGAAGACATTACAGCAGTTTAACCAGACTGAGTCTTACTCCCTGTGACTAGTGAAGTGATGTTTATCTGTAAAATCTGTGGAGTTCCCCTTTAAGACTGCAATCACTTTGATAATAATTTCTAAAAAATAACAATGACTCAGAGTAACGTCCACAAACTGAAAATGGGACTTTGATCAACTTTCAGTCCACTGTTTTACATTCTGGACTGTCTTGTTACATAATATAATGGCTTCTAATCACCTAAAGAAATTGTAGTTTTGTGGATTTTGGAAGGTTTCATATCACTTGATGAGATAATAAATGTTTACAAGATGGAGAGAAACTCTGAAGTTACTTTTTTTGGCAAAAAAGAAATGCTATTTAACAGCCATTCAAAGCTATCAGCAATTAAAAATCTTTGTAGGTCAACAAAAACAATACAAACCATTTGCAATTATCTTTGACCCTCAACATATTCAACACCAGAAATCTGTTGCCCTGAGTGAACATTATTCCTGTTTTTGTTTTTTTTTTTATTGTTGGGAAGAAATCTGAGAGAGCTCACCACGATACACCATCTTACCTATAGCCCAGATTACTGGTTTTGGACAGCACCAGCGCCTGTAGGAAGTCCAGGATGGCGACCAAAGCGCCGCCCTGCAGCAGTGGAGAATGTACAAGTCGGAAGATACCCGGCAGCACAGAAGAGCAGATCTTAGCCAGAGAGGAGGGGCAGGCTTTGGCCATGCAGGTCAGCAGTGTGACGGACACCTAAACAGAAACACACCACAACATAAAACAATACCTACATATGTGCCACAATCAAACAGTTCAAAGAGTTCATGTTGTGCATGTACAGAACATGCCGTGGTTACATGCCTGCAACATGTGCAAGCAGTAACTGTCACATGTCAGGAGACCCAATTATGCTGCATTATCAAAATCAGAACCTGTGTTTCACGCATTTTTGTGATCACTGTTAGGTTCACATCTGAGATTTCTCAGTGGAGCTACGACTGGAGCAGAGAGACAAGATCACAATCTGTGTCAGTCAGCAGCCAGGACGAGCCAAACTTCATGTAAAAGATCATCACTAGTGATGAAAAGTAGGTCTGCAGGTACACTGAGAGAAGAAACTGTAGTTTGCACAGAGGAAGAGCAACAGTCTCCGAGACTGAAGAAGGTGCATCATGTCAAGAGCATTCTGAGTTTGACTGTATCACCCTGAGGTCTCTGAGAGAGCGTTCTGCACAAATGACCTGAACTGTGGCGCAGCGGCATGTAGTTGTAACAATGTGATGTGCAAGCAGTCGCAGCGTAGTAGTTACGCGCACAATTTTTTCCCACAACATGACTCCGATTTGACTCCCTGAAATCTTCGTCTTCCCTAAAATGTTATTTAAGTTTGCACTCTTTTGACACAATTCAAGAGATTTCGCGCTCATCACACATGGTGCTTGCCACGTTTACACAACAGGACCAGGGAGCATTACAAGCAATGCAAAAGCAGTTGAAGTGCTGCACAAGGAGACTTCTTCAACAGGTGGGAAAATTTAAATCAGGTCGAGCTGTGTTCCAAAGCAAACATTTTTTTTTTTTATCCAGCACCTACTACTGCTGCCTCTACACAGTACAAACTGTTTCATGCTGTGTGCATACAATTGGGAAATACTACTTTGACATATTTCGTCCTAAACTTTTACAATCACAGTCTGCATTAAGCTGTCTTCTGTCTGTTCTCTTGGCAGCTAAAACTTGTTTATACTCGCGCAATGTATGTAACGGAACTGCGCAGACGATTGTGTGTCAGAATGTACAAAAAAATTTGAATGGATGCACTAGAACATCTGGGTACAAAAATTTTATCCAGCGTACGACATAGCATGGTAGTATGGATAATAACACAGCCAAAGGTTCTTGATTTTTATAGGCAGTCTCATTCCTTCTGACTGCACCTTGTACAGCACTGTGTGTTATGGAAAGGTGATTCAGCTACATTTAAGTTCACAGGATATCTCAAAAACTACTTTAAGGAGCTCTCCCCAATCCATCACTGCGTTCATGGTAACAAAGTACTGCAAAAAAAGGTTAACTTGTCTTGGTGTAAAATTTTTTCTAAATGTCTTCTATTGCTAAAATAAAAAGCTTAGAGGAATCCAACTGTCCAGCTATTTCCTAGTTTGTAAGTGACACATTTGTCTGAGCATATCAGTGTCTGCATCCAGGAACTCCAGACATATTAAGAGACGTTTTTGTCATCACTGGTCTGTTTGTGGTGGAAGGAGTGTGATTAATGTGTGTGTTGAATTCAGTGTGAGTACCTGTGATACATGCATGTCACCTTCATCCACCAGAGCAGGTAGCTCACTCAAAACGGGTTCCAGGGCTGCTGGTTTGATGCTGGCGGCGTGATGGGTGACCAGCGCAGTCAGACACGCGAGTGTGCCGAGCTTCAGAGCCCGCTGGTTCTTCCGCAAAAAAGATCCCAACACAGACAAAGCTTCTGGCAGGATGGATGACAGGTCAATCTGGAGAGGAAGAACAGTTAATATCATCTTTACAATAAATGTCAAATAAAAAAAGGTGTCCATTAAAAAAGTGACATACTGAACCTTTAATGTAGAAGCAGATATGAGGGTGATGGTCCGGACTGCTGTCAGTCTTGTGATCTCATTCTTTAACCTCTCCAGAAAGATCGCCAAAACACCCTGCAGCTCCGCCCCCAGGTGGTCACCAAGGTGACACACCATGTGACCCATACAGGAAATAGCCCTCTCCTTCACCTCCTGGTCAATGTCTGTCGCTTTCAGCCTCTTCATTGTTACTGAAAACACCTTGGGGAAACAAAATTTGATGAACGGACAACAATAAAAAAAACAATAATATCCAATCACTGGACAGGAATAGCAGCCAGTCTAAGAAAAACAAGACAATCAATAACATCAGAGGAAAAACTACAACATGGGGCACAAAGGATAAATTCAATACAATATAAACTGTAGTGCAGTTACATTATACAAGAAAATGCAGAATTTTTATTTTCATGTTTCTTTCTCCATCACAACATTAAAACCACTGGTCTAATGTTGTATAGGTCTTTCTTGTACCACCAAAATATCTGTGACCAGTCAAGGCCTAGACTTCATAGACCTCTGAAGGTGTGGTATCAGGCGTCCTGACCTTAGCAGCAGATCCTTTAGGTTCATATTGAACTTTGTCCTGTTCCTCAAACACTCCTGAACAATGTTTACAGTGTGGCGGAGGGAGGGAGCATTGTCCATGAAGATCTGCCATCCAGAGAAACTTCAGGTTCAGTGTCTTGCCCCATTTTGACATGTGGAGAGGCTAACCTGGTGGGTTTGCAGTAATGTTAAGGTCGCTCCTACGTTTCAAAGTAACATTCACATGAATGCAGGACCCAAGGTTTCCCAGCAGAACATTTCCCAGAGCATCACACTGCTTCTGCTGCTTTGCTTTATCCCCATAATGCATCCTGTTGGGGTTTCTTCTTTCAGGTAAACGACACACCTGGCCGTCGACAAGACTTAAAAGATGCTCACAAGTCCACTGCAGGAGCTTGTAGAAGTGAACAGGAGTCAGCATGGACACTCTGACACAGCGAGCTGTAACGCTCTGTATGTTCGGACACCTTTCTATAATAGCAGCGTTAAAGTTCTCAGCAGTTTGTGCTGCAGTAGCTTTTCTGTGGGATCAGTCCACACTTTTTAGCACTCACTCCCCATGCACATCGATTAGTCACCCGTTTACTGGTTGTCCTTCCTTGGACACTTTTGATACAGACTAACCACTGCATATCAGGAACACAACACAAGATTTGCCACTTTGGAGATGTTCTGACCCAGCGGTCAGAGCCTCACAATGTCCATTTTTCCTGCTTCCAAAACATCAGCTACAAGAACTTGCTACGTTATACATCCCACCCCCTGACAGGTGCCAGCGTAACAAGATAATCAATGTCAGTAAGTTCATCTGCCAGCAGTTTAAAAGTTGTGGTTCATTTGTGTATATGAATACGTAATGATTGAACTGTTGAAACCTCTTGAATAAAAGGTAAAAGACCTTCAGGAACCAAAAAGACAAGTCCAGGTGCCTCCTACCGAAGAGAAGAATCTAATTACAACCCTTAAGATCAGAGAAAACAGCCCTGAGCTACCGTACCTCCTTGACGAACGGTTTGGGGTCGAATCCTCCGGCTGTGACGGTTTTTCCCTGCGGCCTCATCACTCTGACCAGCTGCTGGGTGACCAGCAGAGCCTCTGAGGTGATCTTATAGAAAGTATCTTCAACACACGCCACCACAGGAGGCAGCAGCACCTGCAGGGAGCACAACAGAAACATCTTTACGTGCTTACTGAAAGCTGCTTTTCTCAGTTATTTGGTCAAAAAATGCTAAAATGCCTTTTTTTGTGGACTGAGAACATTTAAGACCTGCAGATGTCCTGATAAAAAACAATGTGAAGAATGAAATCACTGAAAATAATCTGAAATATGCATAGAATCCCAATGCAAAAATCCAAAAGCAAAGCATGAACAGAAGTTTGCAGAACCTGCATGTGCGGCTGAAAGGCTTGAGGAGGGTGGGAGAGGAGGAGGACGTGGAAGAAGGTGAGAGCATCGATCCTCATAGTGGAGGAAGTGGACTTGTCTGTCAGGGAGAAGACGATGCCTGGACGGAGGGAGGGGGAGGAAGAAAGATGGAAGAGGAGTGAGAGCATGTGAGAGAAGATGAAGCAGCTGAAGCAAAAGACAAATTGATGTTGGGAGGTTTTAATCCTGATAAAGATATAGCAGAAGAAAGCCAACTGTAGAATGTGATGTGTTTACTTGGAGGTGTTTTAAGAACCAATCTGAGTTTTATACCACAGGAGTGACGCCACTTTCTCACACAACTTCAAAGGGCTGTTTGAGGGTTAAAACTGAGTTGTAGGATTTGTTTGTTTGTGTACCAGGTATTAGAGCAGGTATGTGCTCCTCCAGGGCTCCAGGTACAGTGTTAGCCAGCTCAGTTAGGAGACAGAAGCAGCCCTGTCGAGATTTAATGCTCTTCTCCTTCAGCTGCCTGTGGAGCACCTTCACGATCATCGGCACCTGGACACACAGACACATATAAACATTTTATCCCTGCAGATCATATTTCCCAGCAGCCTGGGAACTGTAGATATGGTTTTCTGAGAAGAGGTGTGAATCTGATCCATTGGCAACCGATTATTATCGGCCAATATTAATTTTAAATAGTTTGATCCGAGATCTCCACAAAGGCTGATCAGATAACAGAAAAACTGTGAGACTTCTCTACATGCAGCTAAAACGGTTTCAAGGGCTTCACCGGTCTGGCAGTTCAACCAGGTGTCTGACAAAGGCAATACATTTATCATTGTCAATGTGTGTTCCAAAGAAAGAAGAGCATTTCAATACTAAAAAACCTGACCTTAAAGTTTGGTCATGTAAAGGAATACGTCAGTTTTCAAAGCCAGAGAGCACTAAGGCAGAATGAGAGTGCACAGTCCCAGAGTAACATTCTGGATTAGTTGTACTAATGTGTCTAACTTTCTCATTTGGGTGCACCGGCACATGATTTATTCAAAATCTTATGTAGCAGCAGTTACTTGTGGTGTGTTTGACTGGTCAACAGGGCATTCATATTTACTGAGACTATTTGCTAACCTCTCCTAAATGGAACAATCTGCTGACCTCTCCCTCTTGTTGTGAGTTACCACACAAGTTTTGTTGTACAGTGACAATAAAGCCTCTATCTATCTAACCAATAGTGACCTGGCACAACACAGACATGATATTGGCATGTCTTCAAGTTTTAGACTGAAAAAAGTAGCTGAGGAACAATATTCCAGACTTTTCCTACTCCTTATCAGACATCTTTGTAATGTAGGTTAATTTCAGCGCCTTTTAAGACATTTCTGACTTGTTGACACCTCGAGTCACTACCTGTTTCTTTAGCAGGGCGACTGCCGGCTCCTCCTCCCTGCACGTCCCGGCGTCTGAACCGGCCATGATGAGGCCATGCTGGCTCGATCCCACGCGAGTTTGTCTCAGCAGCGTTGAAAAAGCTGCAAAGACGTCGGCCCTCACGTTCTCCTCGCGCTCCTTGAAGCGGGTGAGCAGGGCGGGGCAGATGGTGGCGTAGAAGGAGAGGAGAAGGTCCCGGCGGGTACTTATCAATGCCTCCAGACACTTGATGGAGGAGCGACGTACCTTCCAGCTCATGTCGTCGTCGTCGCTGTACTCGTCGTCTGATTCTGGGTGGAGTCAAGAACAATAAGGAATTTATTACCACCTACATGTTTGTAACTCTTTATATCAGCCTTGAGGAGCAATTTGTAGATTAAAATGCTCATTTAAAAGCTGTTGCATGATTTTGTTTTTGGAGACATTAAGAAAAAAGTGGCATTTTGTGCAGGATTCCTAAAAAGTTTTTCACAGCATGTCACATTACATCACAGAAAGGAATCGTCTCTGCCTGGAGGAAAAATAGGACCAAATATTCACATTAAGAAACTGGAATCAGCGAATTTGACATTTTTTTCAATCAATATTAAAATAATTGATGATTAATTCAATGGTGGACAACTAATGAATTGCAGCAGCTTGACTTATTTAAGATTAATCTAAATATATATGTTTACAAGTTAGAACAAAATGCTGTGGGCTGGGATTTATGTCTTTAGGGGGAGGTGAGCTTTTACCATCACATCCTCCCATCCGGAGCCTCGTCCTGACATTTTATCTGCTCCATATGACATCTGATGGAAACATGTTAACAGCAACATACTGTTGAGGCCTATTGGGGAACGAATACGAGGTGTGTCAGAAAAGTTTCAGGACTGGTGTCAAAACAAAAGATATATTTCAAATCCAAACTACAAACTACAAGTTTCCCCATTCTAAGTAATCCCCCTGGAGTCTAATGCACTTCCCCAGCCTTCTCTGCCACGCCGCCATGCACTCCTGGAAGGATTCCTGCAGGATCTTTCACAGCTCTGTCCTCACAGCCATCTTGATGGCGTCCACGTCTTCACAACGGGTCCCCTTGATGACCTTCTTGATCTTGGGGAAGAGGAAAAAATCCCACGGAGCCAGGTGGGGTGAGTAGGGAGGTTGCTCCAGCACGGCCATGTTCTTCTCAGCCAGGAACTGTCGGATGCTCAGGGCATTGTGAGCAGGCGCGTTGTCATGGTGAAGCAGCCACGACTTGTCCTGCCACAACTCTCGCCTCTTCTCCCACTGAACGAAGCAAACATGGATCTCTTTGTAGACGTGCTGGTTGATTGTCTGAAGGGGAAAACTCGTAGTTTGTAGTTTGGGTTTGAAATATATCTTTCGTGATACCAGTCCTGGAACTTGTCTGACACACCTCATATGACGATGGGAAGAAATTGAAGCTGCCTGGAGAGCTACAACGTAATGTTGTAATGTCAGCTACAGGTAGGCACTGCTGCTCTCTTTCTGCCCTGTTTCCTACATATTGTCAAATTGGTGCCCTAAATGTAGCCTAATCAGCTAATATCAGTTCCTGCTAGAATGCATTCATGGAAGTACAGACAAATACCACTGGATTACTTTAATATTACAGAAAACCTAAAAACATAATGATTCCCAGACAAGTTCAGCTGCTTTTATAAAATGATTTCTAAGCACATTTGTAGACGTGAATCTGGTTTGTCTGTTACAGATCAGGCAGGCAGACGGACAGATCTCACAAACCTTCATCAAGTCCGTCCTCTATGTCCATGCTGTCTTCTTCTTCCTCGTTGTCATCGTAGTTGTAGTTAGGGTCAAAGGTCATGAACTTAAGACAAAGCTGGGTCACCGTGGCAACGTGAGGCGACATCTCCTTTGGACATCTGACAATCACATGGACACAACAGGAGCCAGAGAGGAAAAGTAACTGGGTTGAGTAAAGGTTAGGTTAGGGTAAGAGAAGTTATGGTCCGCAGGAAACGGATGGAAGTCAATGTACCATCCTCTGAAGTGAAGGTTTGTGTGTACCTGCGTATAAAGGCTTCAAAGGCCTGGAAACAATACTCTCTGAGCTCATCGTCCTCCACACCAGTGAACTTCACCACCATGGGAATCAGCTTCTCCAAGTGCTCACCTACAGACCAGAAGAAAAACAGGTCGAGTTTAGTTGCACTAAGTCCAACAAAAAACACATGAGACAAGACCCAGTCTGCAGCCATGCTAACTGCTCCGTTAATGGCAGTCAATGCACTAATTACACTCAAAACATGAAATTACTTGATTTCATCTTAGGTAAATCTCAGATTTCAGATCTCAGATCTCAGATCTCACCAACTCGATGGCCGCCCTGCCGGCTCACGGTTGCCAGGCACTGGATGTATGTCCTCGTGTTTAAAGTGGGCGGGCCCTTGGCCAGCTCCGTCAGCAGGTGTTCAGTCAGCTGGGAGAAGAGGGCGGGGCTACAACAGGGCACCAGGTGACCCAGAGCCAAGATGGAGCGCTTCCTGACCGCCATTCTGGGGCTCGTTAGCTGACGGAGCATACGTGTGAAGAACAAATTAATATATGCAGCATAGCAGGTGAATTATTGGACAGTTGAAAGATAGGTGAGAGATAAATGACAACAAAAAATCAATAAAACACAATGTAGGTGGAAGCAGCACTGCAAAAGCACAATATTGTTTTAAAAAGAAGAAGACGAAGAAGAAGCAGAATAAGAACAAAACCAATACTTGACACATACATGTACTTAAAATTGAGAGTATCACTACAAATTAGACAATGTAAATATATACTTCTTAGGGCTGTGCAGATAATGAAATAAAAATGGTGATCATGATTTTGACTTCTCACAAATAAATGAACATGATCGAATGTGATATTGATGGTTAAAATGCTCCGAAATTTAAAAAAAAAAAAAAAAAAGCTGTTCATAGAAAACAATCAAAGTCATTTGGTTTCAGCTTGGGTAAACCTGGATTTACAAAATACGCTGTCCCTAAAATCAATGAATAATCATGATACATGATCGTAACCCTAATACTGATCATTATTTTTCATTTTGGCCATAATTATGCAGTCTTAAATGTCTAAAATCAAAGCAAAGAATATTTAACAATTGAAAGCAACTGCGTTACAAACTAAAAGACACCACTTGTGTTGTGTTGTGTTCAACTTAAACACCACAGCTGGAGTTTGTCTGGTTCAGTGTTTCTTACCTGAGGCAGCAGGCTGAAGAGCAGGGAGCTATGAAAACTAACCAGTGCACCGCTCAGTCTGCAGAAAAAAACAATGAATAAAAACATCACCATCACATGTGTCGGTATCTTTTTTATTTTCATTCATTTTTGATTTATAGAGATGTCTGAAGTACAGCTAAATGAACTGTGTGCGCTGGGATTTTCAGATGTGGGACAAACAACAGCTCAATCAGGACAGATCTGTTATTACCTTCCCAGCATGTCCGACAGGATGTCCAAGGCCTCTAACTGAACTGACACATCGTCTTGTTTTCCCATCGCACCAATCAGCTGGGAGGTAATCTTCTTACACACACTGGCTGTCAGAGTCAAACCTGGCAACCCAAGGAAACACGTGTGAAAATAAAAAAGGCTAAACAAAAATACACTTTTCATTTCAACAGTTTTGTATCTGCTCAGCTGCTCCGTTGTTCTCAGCGTGGGCTTTGCTGAAGTCAGATTTAGATTTTAACAGACTTGGATGAAGGTTAAAGTGAACATGCCAAAATGGTGGAAAGGCAAAAATCCATATTGAAAGTGGAAGCGATCACAGTGATGTCATTGGTATTTGCTGAAAATAATGAGTGTTGCTCAGTGAGATTCTTTTGTCTTTGTCTGACACACGGTTGCCGTACATCAGTGAACAAGGACATCTTTATTATCCTCCAGAGGCAAAACCTTGTACAGCCAGCAGTAACCATATAACCCACATAACCTCTTACCCATAGACTGTATAAAAGATGGACGTAGCTTCCGTGACATCACCCGCTGGTTTCTGCACTGAGAAAATGAAGCCAGGGTTTTGCTGCTTCCTGGTTGACATCTTGGATTTTTGGAGCCAGTGACGCAAAAATCGTCGGACGGGGGTGGAGCCATAGGACCAGCGATTGGTCAGACGGATTGAGAGGCGGGCCCTCTCTGCCCGCCCACATTTACCGCCTTCTGCTCGCTTCATCTGTATGGTCGCTGCCAACTGTCAATCAAGCCAGCCACGCCCCTTGCCCCGCAAAATGTTGACGATTTTTTAAAAATTCAGTATTGATTTATTTTCAGATCAGCCACCTGATCTCTGGACTTGACTATGAAAACTAATAAGAAAAAAATCCTGAGCTGGAGGAATGCAGTATTTCATGATCTGTGATCACTTCTTTTCCAATTCATTTCTATGGGAGCCAGGGCTTTTTGGAGCCAGCAGCTAGAGGACATAGTGATGTTGTAGGTTTTTGACACTTCCGGGTTGGCTTCATTTTTCAGGGCTGGTTGGCACGTCCATCTTTTATACAGTCTATGCTCTTACCAGCTAACAAAACCAAATGTGATTCAACAAAACAGGAATAAAACACTTTGGTGTTCATGTCATCCTCCCTGTCAAACCAGCGGATTCATTCCAGGTCAACCAGCCCACATTTGGACCTGTTCACAAGCTTTGTCCTGAAACTGTCCTGAACAGACTCCATAAACTCAGTCACCTAATGTGCGAGCAGGTCCTGTTGTCTGTATCCTGTATGCGCTCGCTCGATGTCCTGAATCATTCCTGTAGTTTGCTACATTAGCATAGGATGCTAACATTTGAGTTATTCTAACCCAGTCCTTGGTTTTAGCTCTTTGAGTTAAGCTCAGCTTGTCCCTGTCTTCAGGTCAGGGTTTAGTTCTTGTTTTCTTTCTACCACGTTTCTGTGATTTACAGCCTTTTGTCTAGTTAGCTCACAGCTAGCCTCAGCGGTTCACCACCTGCTCTATAGTTGGTCTACTCCCAGCTCGTCCTGTGAGTTTGTGCTTAGCCTCCCTTGTTGTATTTTGGTTTTTTTTCTCTCCACTGGTAATGCCTTGTATGCCTGTTATTCTGCCTGTGATTCATGTCTGCTTCTGGGGTCTCAGACCAGCCGTGACAGAAACTTATAAAAAATAAATCACCTGCGCTGATGGGCTACACACAGCATCCACATGAGGTTTAAAGGTCAGCTTATTATCGATTTAAAAGATATTTATGGTGCTGCACAACCTCAATGACCTGATCTTTAATCACCACAGGAGAAGACCGTTGAATTCCGTCAAAAATCAGTTATCATCTGTTTAGTTTTGGACACAAGGTAATAATGATGTGACGCCTCCCAGATTGGCGATAACACATGTTAGTGCACAAGTCACACAAAAGGGGTGAGAGGACACATCCCTGGAGTAATCTGGTGGACGACAAAAGAATATCTGAAAAAACTCCATGAACCGTCACACGAAAAACTGTCAAACAACAAATCAGGCCAGCATCAGTGATGTGGATACTAATAATCTACGTGGAAAAAATGTGAGGTGCAATACAATTAACAGCTGAAGAGAAATTAGAACTCATCGCAGTTAATAGAGAGCCTGTCACATGCCTGACCCATAGGAAAATTAAAGTCCAAATCCGCCTGCACTGTGTTCACGAGCACTTCCTTCACAAGCTGCTCAAATGATTTCAAAATAAGAGAGGCGAGGGCGTTAATTCATGGCTATAATGATGGAATCCTTCCAAAAATACTGACGAGACAACTTGAAGATAAAACAAAACATGTCTGACAACAGCTCACAGTGATTATGTAAATGAGCCGAGACCTTTCCTCTCCTTTACAGAATGGTTTCATGGTAATCCCTCAAAAATGCTCAACTTGGCTTGTGCACCAGTCATAGTAAAACATAAGACTATGTGACAAATAGAGTTTGCTTTCCTGTCACAAACTACTGTAATCAGAGGAACCATTTATGGCCAGAATGTCCTGCTAACTGTTTGAGGTTAATGTGAGATCAAAAGCTGCCATTAGAAGCTGATCATCACCTGACGAAGACAGCGGCAGCTCAGCAATCACAGTCTTCAGTCCCATGCTGGAAATGTCTCTCAGCTGCTCTTTGTCGGACGTCATGTTCGAGCACAGCGTGTCCACCATTGTCTCCACCTGGGGCTCCTTCACTTTACTCACCAGAGGGGCCAGACTGAAAATCAAACACACCCACGTCACACTTCAGTGTAAAGCTGCAACTAACGGTTATTTTCTTATTGCTTCATCCGCTGATTGTTGTACAAATTATTCCGAATGCCAAAAAATTGTGGAGAAAAAAAGCCCAAACTTCAAGCTGTTGGTTTGATCTGCAATCACGCCACATTCCAAGAATATTTCATTTACTGTGATATAAGATATAGAAAAGGAGTGAAATAGCATGTTTTTGGCGTTTATTCTGTCGGTGTTACTTTTGTGTGTTTTTGTCTGTATGATTATTTTCCTGATGGAGGTCTGAGGACAGAAATGCTGCTTCAATAAATAAATCCAATAAAGATTTTTTTTCTTTTAAATCTCTTTAGTTGTGAGTTTTTAACCCTCCTATTATCTTTGGGATCAATTTGACTCCATACAGTGTTTAACATCTCTTAATAAGTGATTGACATAATTTTTCTTTTTTATTTAAAGGCCAATTTACACATAAACTTGAGTAACAACTTTAATAATGATAATTTTCTGGAGGTTTAAATTGCTGGGGTCAAACTGAACCCAAGGATAAAAGATGTCAGTAAATTTGAAGGTAATAGGAGGGTTAAAGATCTTTTGTCAAAACAAGTAAGACCCATTTTGCCCTCAAGCAACCAAGTTATATTTTCTTCAGCACAACCTGGACAAATTCAAACCATTTAAAAAATGTAGGTGTGTTTGGTTTCTTCAAACTTCCAAGACTGAGGCCTCAAGAAAAGTCAGCTCAGCAATTATCCAGTTATTTATGACAGCTGATTCATTATCAGAATAGTAATTAATTAACAGATTAATTGTTGCAGCACTACTTCAGTCATTTTTTCTATGAGTTAAACCTTTGAACAGTAACCTACAGTGTGCTTCCACAAAGGAACTGAAGCGGATTTACTGTGTAGGTTGGTTTTGCCTCTTCAAAAACAGGTTTTATTGGGCAAATGCCTGTTTCAGAACGAACAAAAGAACCACAATAACTGCAAAACCAGCACTGTTAAAATAGCATTACACCACATGTTAATTTGCAAATGGTGAAGCTGAGAAATGTGCAAATGATTTCTCTCATAATTTGTTTAAAAACAGTTTGAATATCGACTGTGAGGGTTTGTAAGTTTTACCATTTCACGGCCAGGTTCTGCACCTCTCCGTTCTTGTCCTCCAGCAGTTTGAGCAGCATGGTCACCACTTTCCTCTCGCTGTCCTCGTCCAGTTTAATGCTGTCCTTCTGCAGCTCCAGCATCAGGTCATTGGTGGCCATAAACCTGCACATGCAACACAACAAACATACACAGTTTGACACTAAATGGAATAACTGGAGAGCAGGCAGAAAGAGAGACGAGGCAAAGGCATGCAAATTATCTGTCTTACAAATAATGAATCAACCAATGCTTGTTTTGATGTTGTTACTCCGTGCACACGGTTAAACTAAAAAAAAGAAAGGGCTGAAGCACATGTCAGTCATCAACATGGGACAAACCTCTAGTATCATAACTGAAAACATCCATTAATCCAAATAGACAATTGGATGTTTGTCTTTATTAGGTGTGTGACAGTAAAGTTGACATATTTGTTTTGGACTTAAAAGCATCATCTTGGTCTGTTATTATAACATATGAAATTATAGCATAATTTCTATTGTTTTAGGAATTTTGACAAAAGTTAAATCATGTTTGTAGAGGCAGCTTTGGTTGATTAGTGGTTAGTAAACTGGTTAGCAGAGCTACAGAAAGCAAACTTTTTTGATTATCATTTACTTGTATTAGTCATTTTAAAGTGAATTTTTAAAAAAAGGTCAAGTTTGCTGTTTCCAGCTTCTCAGAATGGAGGATTTGATGTTTGTCTTTATTATCCAGACACTAAACTGAATATATTTGTGTTCACCTCAGTGTGTTATTATAAAATCAGAAACACATTTTTTTTTTTACTGTTTTTGTCCATTTTGACAGAATATCATTTGTAGAGAAAGAAAATATTCATTGTAGCTGCAAAGTTGGTTAAACGCAGACATCCTGTGTGACATTAAATAAAATAAAGTTGATAAAGAAGACAGAAATGCCCCCTGTGTAGTAAAATGTCACACACATGACATCAGTCAGGACTAGAAAGTGTCATCTCACTGTCAGCTGCTGCTTCTTACCTGAAGTCTTTGTCAGTAGATGTCATTTTCTCCAACAGGTTGGAGATGTGGTAGGAGACACTCGACATGTTGGTGGTTTGACAGCTGTCACCGGCGCCAACAAACGTACTGTTGAATAAAATCAGGAAACTTTGTCAGCAGGCTTAGCCGGACAACATGGCGAGGCTGCCGGGGGCAGAGAGGAGGGCTAGCCGCCGGAGGAACCTGACACTCGGTGGGTTCAGATAAAAATAGACGAGAAGAGAGAAGAGTTCCAGGTTTATGGCGCCGTTGTGTGGACACACCAAGTTTCACCGCTGAGTCATAGTTAGAAATCTGGAAGTGAACCGCGTTTCATGTTTAATTGGTTTGTTAACTAGAATTAGCTAGTGGTTGCACTTCCGTTAGCAGTCAGCATTATTTTTTATTGGTGTAATAGTTTTGATAAGTCGTCTTCTTCAAAAGAAAAAGCATTCTGTGAGTACTAAAATTTAAATTTAAACTGGCATTAAAATCAAGTGAAAAGACTAAAAGACAATGAAAAAGGAATAAAATAAAATAGAAAAAATATTTGTGCACAACAGTTTTGTTTTGCAATAAATGATTGTTATTAATAATTTATACTTTTTGCTTTGTTTGAGCTTAATGTAAATTAAAGACGAAAAGCAAAAAAGGTTGCAATCTCTCGACTTACGTTAAGAAAACAAATATGTTTACAATAAAAACTATCTTCGGGCTTTAAATTCAAAACACAAGTGTTTGTTTGTTTGTTTGTTTGTTTGGCATATACAATCTGACCAATATCTGCCAAATAAAGGGGGACAGGAAAATATTAGTCTGGCTTATATCATGTAAGATTTATCAATGTTTTTCTTTAGCCCTACTGAGTATATAGCATTTATATGGTGATAAACATAGAATTTTTAAAATTTATTTATTGTTTTTGACTGTGCTGTACATATAAGGATTATTATTAATAAATCCTAAATATCTGATCGTAAGTTTAAAAAATAAAAACAAAATATATTAAAAAAGTATTTTGAAAATGTCATTTTTTCATTAAATGGAAATGCGTTCTGTATTAGCTTTTATTTGTGTCTTTATTCACAATTTGGATTATCTTATTTCTTTGCTCAACATCTTGAACATTTCATCTGATTGCTTTCTCAGTTCATAATATTTATCTAACGGTAGTTTATGAAGGGAAAAGTCACGTTTTGGAAAACGGAACCTTTGCTGTGCTTGTGTCGTTTCTGCCGGTACGAGGTGTGGTGGCACTCGGTGGGAAGCGGCTCCTGTAGTTGTTGCCACGTCGGAATAGTTGGGGGACCTTATTAATTCATTTTAGAAAGCATAAGTAACACATTTCTGGAGCGTTTCTCCATTCGCTGCCGTCATGGTGAGTCTGTTAACTTTTAATTTACGCTGTGAGCGAAGCTGTTTGCTGACATTTGTGATTTTTGATGTTTATTGTTGGCTGCTGACGTGCCCAAGCTGCTAGCTCGTTAGCACAGTAGCTAACAGCAGGAGGCTAATCTCCAGTTTATCTTCACTTAAGTGCAATTTTTAAGTTGATTCGTTTGTTTGCTTGTTTTAGGTTTCCGTTATTAACACGGTGGACACCTCCCATGAGGACATGATCGTAAGTATTACGCCTTTTTCATTCAGCTCAGAGTAGCGGATTATCGATGCTAACGTCAGCTTTCAGTTTATATTAATGTAGGTTTTGTTCCTAATTAGCTCAAATACACGTGTCAGTATAATGTCACATTAATATAGATGTCATTGGCATGTTTATAGCGTCATGTTACATGTCTCTGAGTCGATGCAGCCACTGTCATGTGTAATAACCTTCGCTGATAGCTGACACTGTGGCAGCTGATTATCATGTCAGCATAACAGTCAGAACCGACCTACAGAATATTACCTACAGTTATTTTAGAATCAGTTCATCGTGTAGTATTCTATGTCTGTGGTTTCTTTAGTAAGATGATTTGCTGCTTTTATTTGTCTCTGTTGTCCGTAAAATAAACCAGTCAGTTAAAACACGGTGTTTTACTTGGAACCTGATAGACATACAACACTCTATGCCAAAACACACAACCAGATTAACAGATAAGAAATCAAATAATATAATAAGCTGCAGCCTTAAAATTATTAAAATTATAAGCTCTTCAGAAATGATGACGTCTGATTCTTCCTGGTAAACTAAATGTAATAGTTTGTGCGAACTTCTGCAGATGGTGGATTTTATGGTGAAAATAGGTAAATACAACAGCTGTAGAAAACACACTAAGATGAGCCTTTACACGTCCATCCATTATCTATACACCGCTTAATCCTCACTGGGGTCGCAGGGGGCTGGAGTCTATCCCAGCTGACTCAGGGTGAAGGCTGGTTCACCTGGACTGGTAACCAGTCTGTCACAGGGCTACACTTAGAGACAGACAACCAAGCACACTCACATTCACGCCTACATACAATTTAGAATCACAAATTAACCTCAGCATGTTTCTGGACTGTGGGAGGAAGCCGGAGAACCCAGAGAGAACCCACGCTACACAGGGAGAACATGCAAACTCAACGCAGAAGATCCCAGAGGTCCAAACCTGGACACGAACCGGGGATCTTCTAGCTGCTAACCACTGAGCCACCTTGCAGCCCCTTTGCACATATGTTACTTTTCATTTTATGAATAAAAAAAAAAAAGACAATTGTGGCAGGTGAAAAATCTTGTGCAATCTTCTCCTTATCACATCTTTATTAAGACATTAATAAGCCCGTTAGGATGTGCAATGCAAGTTAAAAACCATAAGTTCCAGAACTGATACAGTCAGGTCTGACTGTACTGACACAATTTTCTTAATTTTTCCTCCCTAAACAAGCACAATGGTTTTGAAATCAAACAAACTAGAAGCGGTTGGAGTGCAGTCATGTACGCCCAGCAAATAACAATTAATAAAATCTGTGAATGGTTGATAATTGATTTTTTTTGGTTGATGAGTTGACTGATTGTTCTAGTGCTAATGGTAACTATTCCGCAGTTCACTGTCTGTTCAGCAGGATAATGTGTATATTTTCACAGTGCCACCAGCTGCCCTCACTGTCTTCCAGTATTAAATGTGTCTGCTCATGTTACTTTTGAGTTTTTCCCACACTGCAGGTCTTGACGTCTTCTTGTTGTGTCTGTTTCAGCACGATGCCCAGATGGACTACTACGGGACTCGGCTCGCCACCTGTTCCTCTGACCGCACCGTCAAGATCTTTGATGTCAGAAACGGAGGGCAGATTCTGGTCGCAGACCTTAGAGGGTAAGAAACCAAAGCTGAAAAACCAAACCAGTAGACTAAAGCTAATCAAAGAGCTCAGTTTATTTCACTCTGCAAATTAGTAAAATGCATTAAATAACATTTTACAACTGGCTTTTATTTACTTCTTTCTGGTTTGTGTTGGGAAAGTGGTGGCTCAGTTTTATAACTAACAAAGTCTGTCTCCTGTAACTACTGTTTTTGTCTTACATAAACATGTTTAATTCTATTTGGATCCTATTTTGTGTGTCTATATTGTGTAGCCACGAGGGTCCCGTGTGGCAAGTAGCCTGGGCTCACCCGATGTTCGGCAACATCCTGGCTTCGTGTTCCTACGATCGCAAAGTCATCATCTGGAAGGAGGAGAACGGAGCCTGGGACAAGATGTACGAGTACACCGGACATGAGTCTTCAGGTCAGTAGCTCAGCGTGATCACAGTGTCAAGCTCAAAATCCAGTTTTCCTCCCTGGCAGGTTAGAGGAAACGTCTGGGTGTTGGTCAGCTTGGGAGATATTTAACTTATATTGATCTGTGTTGATAAGTTGCATTAGTAATAATAATAATAACAATAATACATTATATTTAAAAGCACCTTTCTGGACACCGAAGGACACTGTGCAGAAAAGCAGAAAACAAAATACAGGCATGATAAAAGGATAAAAACAACATACAATAGTGTAGGGAGAGGGACAATGTGGAGCAGTTATAGGGAATATGAAAGTCTGAACAGATGGGTTATAAGTTTTGATTTGAAGATGGGAGGGTGGCAGAGTTTCGGAGATCGGGTGGTTGTGAGTTCCAGAGTTGGGGGGCAGAGCAGCTGAAAGCTCTGTGCTCATGGTGCTGAGATGGGCGGAGGGTACAGAGAGATGGGTGGGGGAAGAGGATCTGAGCGAACAGGATGGAGTGATGACATGGAGGAGGGGCGAGGTTGTGAATAGACTTGTAGGTGTGCAGAAGGATTTTGTATGTGATTCTATGTTTAACCAGGAGCCAGTGGAGTTGCTGAAGGATGGGGGGTAGTATACATTTAAGACCACTGATGCTGTATCATTTTGTTCCTAGACAACCTATTAGGAGTGTCAGTATCAGGGCTCCTTTAGCTTTTTGAAACCATGTATAAGATAGAACATTTTTGACTTTTATGTTAATGCCTTCTTCTTATCATACGTGGTAACAGTTGAAAAGGCAAACACAATGCACTGCTGCTGCTTTTTACAGTCAAACTAGAGGCTTGTTTGTGAGCTCAGCTGCTTGTAGTAACAGTCTGGATTGGAACCGCAGACTTCGTCAGCACAGGCCAACTACATATTCCGCTGTGCGTTTTTTCTGCTGCTTTTCCAGCTTTAAAAATCCAGACCATTTCCAAATCACAGATATTGTGTCACCGCCATTATTTCCTTGTTTTGAGATGTTTGGCTCCTCATTGGCCCCTGCAGGTGTCAGCTGCATAACCCTTTTGCTGCAGCCTAACCCAGTGAATGTGCAGATACAGAACAGTTATATTATTTGAAATAATTCACCAGTTTAACGTCACTATAGCAGTTTTTTCATGATAAACCATTGTGTAATGGCCAGGCCCCATATTCTGGAGTATGTCTGGTTTCAGTAGCATTCTATTATTCTCTTTCTAGCTGTTTTTCTTCCTTCTCTGCTTAGAAATAGTGTTCTGGAGATTTGGCAGAACCTTCTGATAGAGGCCTTTTAATTTAAAGTCAGAACTAAATTCCTTTATTTGATGCACCATGCCTCTGGAGCTAAAGACCTGAGGGCAGCAGAGAAGTTAACACTGTTAGAGGCAAACTCAAGATCTACTTTTTTAGTTGATTTGCATTGATTTATTTCGCCTGTTTATACATTTCAGTCTGCTGAATCTGTCTTTAAACACTTTACAGTTTTATTGTCGTCTTATTTTGTAATTCTGAATGTTTTGACTTATTCTGCCTCGGATTGCTCCTTATTGCATTTATCTATAGTGGGATTTTTTAAGTCCTTCAATGGTACTGCAATTGTTTTTTAGGAAAGATTTGGGAGGGGGCATTTAAAGATGAGGGGTATCTTTTTTTTTTCCTTCTTCTTCTTTCTTTTTGTTGTGTAACGCGCTTTGTGTTTTATTTTATTTGTATGAATTTCACAATACCCAAAGTGTCTTTGACTTGTTAACTAAGTAAAATTGTTTGACTGTGTCTTGAGATGTTGGTCTTGTTTTTAACTGCTCCTGTGTGTCTACAGTGAACTCTGTCTGCTGGGGTCCCTATGACTTTGGTCTGATTCTGGCCTGCGGCAGCTCTGACGGAGCCATTTCCCTCCTCACATTCACCGGAGATCAGCAGTGGGACGTCAAGAAGATCAGCAACGCACACACTGTGAGTCTGACACACAGCACTCAGCAGCATAGACATGAAATGTCGGCTTTACTCAGAGAAGAAATCTGCGTCACTGCCATTGTATTTGTTGGTGTCGTGTATGTCGGCTGTTATACGCTGTGCTGTAATTTGGCTGCAGATTGGCTGTAACGCCGTGAGTTGGGCTCCCGCTGTAGTTCCAGGCAGCCTGATCGATCAGCCATCAGGACAGAAACCAAACTACGTGAAGCGCTTCGTATCCGGAGGCTGTGACAACCTGGTAAAACTCTGGAAGTAAGTTATCGGCGAGAGACTTTCTGTCCCACTTTCTTTTATGTGATGTCAGCAATAACCTTAATAAATGTATTTGTGTCTTGCTCAGAGAGGAGGACGGTCAGTGGAAGGAGGATCAGAAGCTTGAGGCTCACAGTGATTGGGTGAGAGACGTCGGCTGGGCTCCCTCTATTGGTCTTCCCACCAGCACCATCGCCAGCTGCTCTCAGGTGAGGCTTCATGGACTTAAAGGGATCAGATATGTGGTTTATGTCAAGACTTGACCTCTACAACATACTCTGCCCTTTAGCAGCATCCGTTATGTTTCTAAACAGTCATGTTCCTCCTCCTTGTCAGCTATTTATTTAGCTTCTAAAAAATTGCATTTGCTCACGTGTACCACTAGATGGAGCCAAAGACAACATCCCCTAAATTCTGCAGGTGGCTTTAAAAAGGCTGATTTACACATCTACACGATATCTGTTATCCTAGCCAGGCTACATTTGAGTTTTTAAAGACTCACAGAAGTGTTGTGTTAAATTTGATATTTTAATGGCAGCCTCCTAAAAAAACTCCTCACCAAAGTGAAGTGGGTTTTTACACCTTCTTCTTCTTCTTCTTTTTCCAGGACGGACGTGTGTTTATCTGGACGTGCGACGACCCTGCAGGCAACACCTGGACAGCCAAACTGCTGCACAAATTCAACGATGTGGTCTGGCACGTCAGCTGGTCTATTACTGGAAATATACTGGCTGTTTCTGGAGGAGACAACAAGGTACAATGTGCAAATGTACACAGTCTCTCTATTGACCAATCAGCTCTCTTGGAAAATTGCATCATCATTCCTGAAAGATCATTCAGAGCTCAGTGTGCAGGCAGTGCTGGAAAAGGGTCTCTGAGGGGGACGAGAGAAAAGACTAAAGACCCAGCTCTTTACTGAACACCTTTGCACTTACATGTAAACAACTTATATATGGTTAAATCTCACTTTGATCGTGCCTTTATACGAGGCAGTGATAGAGATAATCTGTCTGGTTTTGGTTGCAGCTGCTGTGTTTCTTTTAGCCTGTCTTCCAGTTTTACTTCCTCGTATTGGTTTTAAGGTTATAGTTTGTTCTTTTTGTGAGAAATACGCAGCTGTAGACCTGTCCATGTTTGTCATTGGTCATCTGCCAACAATTTACCGACTTAATAACCAGCTTCATGTGACCGACTGATCATGACGAGATACTCTGGTGATGCTGAACCGGCCTCTGACTGCTGCTCTATTCACTGTTTGCAGGTGACGCTGTGGAAGGAGTCGATGGACGGCCAGTGGGCGTGCATCAGTGACGTCAGCAAAGGCCAGGGCGCCGTGTCCACCATCACAGACACACAGCAGAACGAGCAGTGACACTCGCATGAACACACACATTACAGCGACCCCCGACCACGTGAGGTCGACCCCAGTCTGGAAAGATGAATGAATGAATAAACGCGCTGGACATTTGGACCGAACACAGGGCGTCCACAGTGATCGAGCTCGTCTTCTTCAGCCTCAAATGTACCAGAATAAATATTTCTAAATGTCATCTTTCGCTGTTCAAAGATGGAGAGTCTCTGCTTTGTTTGGTGATGTTTAGAAATACAAACATGATCAGTAACTACTTTTTTTTTATCAGACGCACTCCACTATTTCTGTTCAAGCTTCTTCCCAGTTTATAGTTTCCACATGTTCTTGAATGCTGGTCCAAATAAAATGAAAAACAAGATCTGTATCTATACGCCCACCCTCCATTCTCCCATCCCATGATGCTTTGCTACCGATACATTCCACCTCCACCAGTGGAGGAGGCAACTGTCCCTCAACTTTCAACACTTTTTTTTTTAATGACTGCTTTACCCAAACAAGCAGGAAAACTCCCACAAAATACGAAGCCGCTTGTTTTCTTTACAGTTCATGAATTATTTGCAGAAGCAGCTTCACGTGTCAGCCTGTAAACAAACACAGTTCTACAAAGACTGACCGTCTGGTTTCAAAGTTTATAAGAAGACAATGACTGATTTAATTAGTGAACTAAATTCAGAACCTGCCTTAACTTATCAACCGCTGTTCCTATGGCAACCAGAAGTGAATACCTGTTGCTAAGACAACCATGAATGGAACAAACCAAGTTTGGATTTATTTTTTTTTCCTCCGGTTGTAAAATCAGACACTGTGGATGTGTTTTTCATATTTGATGTAATTAAATAATTGTTAATGTTAAAACAGTGTTTGTGTTTGTTTTTGCTTTATGTTGAATATTTACTTAGAATGAAAGTAAGAATATAAGTTCCTGTGGAACATGTACAGAGCTCAGCAAATGCATAAGACCGTCACCCAATGTCAGGTTTATGCCACAGCTGCCCTAAATTAACAGCATTGGTAATTACCACAATCATTTCTTATGGTTCTGTAGCGGGTAATAGACCCGTATGTAGAAGCTCTTTAACCAAAATGATATTTTTAATGCTAGAATATAACTGTTATTGTTATCCATGCATTTTCAGATTTACTGTTTTACAAACAAAACATAAGAAATAGTAAAGCACATTATTATTTATTTGCATTCCTGAACAGAAAAATTAGCTTTAGTGGTTGAATATTATGCTTGATTAATTTCTGACTTCTCAGAGAAGCCCAGGGGCTCAGATTTGGGTATAAAAAAATGAATTCAGTTTGAAATTCCTCATTCCTGTTCAAAATGGTAAAATGTCAAGAGCTGAGTGGCATTAAAGCACGTCATGATGCTGGTAGCCTACATACATATGCAGTGCTTAATAAATTAGACAGGTTGCCTAATTTGTTAATCACTGTAGATGTGGATGTGATTTTGTGTCGTCACTTTGAGTTTCTTTATGCTATTTCATAGTTCTGCCTTTTTGTCATAATTGTGACTTTAAATCTTCAGAAATGTAATCTGTGTGACTTTACATGAATTTGTTGTTTTTTATAATCAGGACAAACTTTCTTCTCGACCATTTCTGTCACTGAGAGAGACGAGCCTCCAGTAATCCCCTTCAGTGACTCAGTGAAGTGGTGCGTTCCCACCGTAACAGTGGTAACATTGTGTTTTGGTAAATTGTTTTGTCAGGTTTCCAAGTGCTGTGATTCTCTTGTTTTGTTTGTTTCCACAGTGATGGTAAGAAAGCGCCTGTAACCACATTGTTTTTTACCAGAACAAGTCGTGGTGATGTTGCTGCTGCTGGGACGGTCGCGTGTGTGCAGGTTCGCCCATGAGTCAGTGATGCACAAAAATAGGAACCTGACCCTGAGAATTTCAAACTGATTGGGTAACTGAAAAGAAGCGGGAAGAGATGAGAGGCGATGCAGAGGAAACAGACAAGGAAAGAATGAATCAGAGCGATTCTGTCAGATTGAAGCTTTTTTCACTTCAGTGATAAATCAGTGAATTTCAATCAGCAGATCATCTAGCAGTCATCTGAGTGGTGTTAGAGTGTTTTACAGTCAATGACAGGTCAAGTCATCCTTTAGCATGAATGGTGGGCTTCTGTTGGAAAGCTGGTCTGATGTTTTTGCTGTCTGTGTATTAAAACCAGACCTTTAAATATCAAAAAACATGATTTATGAATTAAAGTCTTTTTCTATAATAGCACCATATTAGAATGACCTGGTCTCCTCTCTGTAGTCTTGTCTTTGGCTCACCCCCTGCATGCATCATTATTAAGAACAGGTTTCACTCCCTTCCACAAGTTTGGATCCAGAGTGAGTGCATTCACATCCTTCTCTGAAGCTTGGAGGAAGCGTTTATTACTGTAGTTCCTGTTCACTCCCGGCACACATAGTTGGGTTTAAATAAAGTTACTGCATCTCCTCCAGACTTTCTACCTGTTACTGAATCAAATGAAAGTAATTCTAGTAATTAAAAGAGTCATTTCACTTTATTAAATATTTTGCAGACTCCTTCCTCAGTGTGAGCAGAGTCCAGCGATGTTCTTGGGGGTTCGGTGTCATCGTGTTCAACAGCTTATCTCTAACTATATCTCTCTTCAAAAACAGGTGATTTTAACATTACTCATAGGTTGGAAAATGCATGGAAATGATAGTTTTAGAGCTGTGACAGTTCGACGGTTTAATCAACTGATCACAAACAGATCAAAAATGACAGAGAGACATAAAGCGATGTAAAACAACGAAAGATGCAAAATGGCCAAAAAGAAACACAAAATAAACAGAAAGAGGAAGGATGGGAGGATTTCAGAGATGTGAAACAACTAAAAAAAAGTTGCAAAATGATCCTAAACGATGTAAAATGGCGAAAAAGACACACAAAGAGACGCATAATGACCTCAAAAAGATGTCAACAACCAGAAAGAAAAACAAAACGACCACAAACATTTGCAAAATAACCACAATGAAACATAAAATGGTCACAAACAAATACAAAATGACCAAAAACAGGTATAAAATGACCACAGAGACACAACAAAGAGACGCAAAATGACCACAAATGCACCCAAAATGATCATGAAGAGACACAAAATGCCCACAAAGGGACGTGAAACAAACACAAAGAGATGCAGAAAGACTACAAAGAAACTGATTGAGTCCTGTGCAGGAGGGGAGAAGGTTGATTTATATTTCTCAGCCCAGAGGAATGATGTTTCTTATTCCTCCATGATTCTTCATTTAGGAATACATGAAAGAGTCAAAAGCAAATGCAGCAGCAGGGGAAAAAACAAAAACCAATAAACAATCAAGGATCCTCTGAGCAGCCTCTGAACAAAAGCTCAGAGCAGAGAACAGCTTCAGGAGGTGGAAAGGCTTCATATTAAACTCCTCATTAAGACCACTGACAGACCTAATGTTGTGTAAACAGATCTAAAAGCTTTCATAGTGGAGAAATAATATGTTTTCCTCACTGAACAGAGAACTGTAGGGTTTGATCAACACCTCAGCTCAACTTCATTACAACAAACACAAGCTGCTGCTGATAACTGCTGCCTGTGCTACGGTTTGCATGTATCCGTGTGTGTGTGTGTGTGTGTGTGTGTGTGTGTGTGTGTGTGTGCGCGTTGCGGCCGGCAGAGACACTTCCTGCACTCTGCAGCTTTGTTCTGTTTTCTTCAGCCTGCTGACACATGAGCAGCTGTTTCAATTCTTTCTCTTTGATTTTGCGTATTTCAGCCACACAGGTGAGTTTTTGTTCTGTTTGCATTCATTTACTGCTTTTAAAAACTCAAACCTCACTGCATCAGACAGTAATTTGACTCCAGCAGTAGAAGAAAGCTGAATACTTTTTTAGTTTCATTTTAAAGGCTGTGAACTGAAGCTGAACCTGCTGCTGCTGCTGGGTTGTTATCACACATTCAGGATGAAAGTTGAAAACTGCTTTTGCTGCTTGCGTTGTGAGCAAACCGAAGGAGTGCTGAACATTTTTGAAAAGTTCAGTATGAAACTAAATAACTGAAAAGGAAAATTTGATAAGCTGAAGTCAAGGCAGTGAAAAGAAATGATCATCAAGGTTAGGGGGGTTTTCGTTTGTTGTTTTTTGGAGAATATATTTGAATGCAAAACATGTCATCATCTTATAAAGTATGGGACATTTTTACGGATAAAGATATAAAGGCTACATCAACAAGCTGCAACTTTAATGCATCTGTAATAATAATGTTATAATCCTATAATATAAGATGTGTAATAATACAAACCTCTACACAAATAACACTTTTACTCTTGTTGCATTACTGGTAATTAAATGAAATAACATTTTGAATGACTTTGAGTTGTTTCACTATTGTTAAAGTATTCACAAAGTGTTTTTGAAAAACCTTCATGGAACATTCAAAACACATTTTCTGATGTGGGAAACCCTGCAGCAGCTTTTTGGGTCAACTTGTACCTCATCTTTGTCAAAATGTGATTAATAACATCTCATACCTGCATTATAGAACCACCATTAATGGCTCAAACTGAAAACACTTAGATTAAATATGTAACATGGCACACAGAGGTTCCAGGCTGTTGCTGTAATGACCAGATGTTGATGTGGGGTCATTCTCAACAGTTTGTAGATTGGTCCATATGGAGATTTGTTGCCAGTTTTTCTGGTCTTAATTAGTCTATTCTCACCATTTTGGCATGTGAAAATAAACACAAGTCAAGATCTACTGATGCCAGAAGTCTCAAAAGTACCTAAAATGTTGATTCTTTTTAGCAGGAAATATTGATTACATCCACACATACGTATTCACATGAACTTTTGAGGCTACGGTACCAACCTTGTTTGAAAATGTTGCACTTTCTTCCATTTTCAAGAGCTAACGATTTAAAAATTAAGCCTTTGCTGGAGCAATTTAATCAGTAGGATCTGTTGGAAACTATTTATACAGTGCAGCAACACAGTGTAGCTGTTATAAACTTTATATGTAGACATCAGCACACCCAGCAGTGCTGCAGAGATAAAAATGAATTAAACATAAGCATAAAACAGTCTGAATTAAGTCACATGAATGAATGAATGAATGAATGAATGAATGAATGAATGAATGAATGAATGAATGAATGAAT